CACACAGCCCCCGTCTGCACTGGGGACACACATCTCAGGCTGGGGCACGGACTGTCTGTGTAGGTCTCATTCTGTCCTGCCACAGACCTGGTGCTGCATTGTCTTGCAAGAGCCCCCAAAGCTCCCCTTCTGTCCCATCTGATCTCGCCGCCCGTGAGGGGTCTCCCCGGATGCAGGAACCTCTCCTTTCCTTCTGCTGCCCCCCAAAGGGCTGCCGTTCCCGTCCCACTTCCTCTCCTCTTTTTCCCTTCTTTCTCTCATCCTACCCAGTTATGCGGGGATCTTTCTTGTCCGTTTAGGTGTCTGAGGTCCTCTGCTAGTGTTCAGCCAGTGCTCTATGAGACTTGTTCCATTTGCAGATGTATTCTTTTTTTTGTGTGTGTGGTACGCGGGCCTCTCACTGTTGTGGCCTCGCCCGTTTCGCAGCACAGGCCCCGGACGCGCAGGCTCAGCGGCCATGGCTCACGGGCCCAGCTGTTCCGCGGCACGTGGGATCTTCCCGGACCGGGGCACGAACCCGTGTTCCCTGCATCGGCAGGCGGACCCTCAACCACTGCGCCATCAGGGAAGCCCTGTAGATGTATTCTTGATGCATCTGTGGGGAGAGATGAACTCCATGTCCTCCTACTCCTCCGCCATCTTGCCTCCCCCCCCCCCAGGCACATTTGAAGTAGTGAACACTTTACACAAAGCTTTTTAAAACTTGAGTCTAGAGCCTCCCTGGTGGCGCAGCGGTTGAGAGTCCGCCTGCCGATGCCGGGGACGCGGGTTTGTGTCCTGGTCCGGGAAGACCCCACATGCCGCGGAGCGGCTGGGCCCGTAACGCATGGCCGCTGAGCCTACGCGTCCAGAGCCTGTGCTCCACAACGGGAGAGGCCACAGCAATGAAAGGCCCGCGTACCGCAAAAAAAAAACCCCAAAACCAAAAAACCCCTTGAGTCTAAGGATTCAACAGGTTAGAAATTAGAGGCTTTTCTTTTGTTTTCCAGAAGGTGGTGCTATAGCACAAGTTTTTGGTTTCTCTTGCTTGAACTACTTCTAGTTATATTTGAGAGCCAGCACTTTCCACGCACTGCCTTTGCCAGAGTTGATGCTCAGTGCCCTCATTGTCGTTGCTGTGCTCCAGGGTCATTTGTGCCTTGCTGCTGCTGTTGTCTCTGGCATCACTGCCTGGGGTACCAGGATGGTGGGCGCTTATGTCGCATCTGGAATTTCCTGAGCCACAGGCTCCACCACCATAGGGAAGAGTGGAAGGTTGGGGGGGTGCTTGGGTTATGGGCACTTCTGCCATGTCCAGTGTTGTCAGGTTCATGGGCTGCACTGGTGTGGTCAGGGAGCGGGGTACCAGATTCTCGGGTGCCTCCTCGGCTGGAAGGATGGGAGCACAGGTTTTGCTTCCACTGCTGCCAAGTTATCTGTGACTGTGGGCACTGCTGTGGCTGGGAGGCCAGAGTTCTGTGTGCAGCCTCCCCTGCTGCTACCAAGTTTTCTGGGGCTGTAGGCTCAGCTGCTGCAATCGGAGGGCCCCAACTGCAGGCACCACCTCTGCTATTCCTCCAGTTCCACCTCCTCTATGTGTTCCAGTTTAGCCACCTTTAGATGTACAGATATGTGGAATTCTCCAGTGTCCCAGTGTGTTGGGCAGAGGAATCTTTGTTGAGTTGTTAATGTTTTACTGGTTGTAGATTGAAGGGGAAGAGATAAAGAGAGCATCTCACCCAGTCATGATGTTGATGTCACTCTGCTTCTCTAATTTTTTTTTTTTCCGGTACGCGGGCCTCTCACTGCCGCGGCATCTGCCGTTGTGGAGCACAGGCTCCAGACGCGCAGGCTCAGCGGGCATGGTTCACGGGCCCAGCCGCTCCGTGGCATGTGGGATCTTCCCGGACCGGGGCACGAACCGGGTCCACTGCATCGGCAGGCGGACTCCCAACCACTGCGCCACCAGGGAAGTCCTGCTTCTCTAATTTTTATTGTTCAGATAATCGTTTAAAATTTTTGCCTTTTAATGTATACTCATACATGTGTTTTTAGTATTTTGGAGAAAAATCTGTTTTTAAACTTAACTTTTGAGTAGCATTATTTATAGGTCCACCAATATGATAAAAATTTTTTGGTCAATAAATTTTTGAAAAATTATACGATTTAAATTAGCTTAGCACCTCCTTTTGTTCTGGAACACAAAGTGTTCCAGTTTGGATGATAAATTATATGGCTGAACAGTCTTCTTGAAGGAAAAAATGGCTAATCCAATTTTACCTTTTAAAATCTGTTTAACACTTAGTAATTTTGTCCATTCTCTTCACGGAAGGAAACCGAGAAAGCTAATTGAGGCAGGGATTGTGCTTGGTACTTTGTAAGTATGAAATATGTTATCAATAACTCCATTTTAGGGATAAGGAAATGGGTTTATAGACATAAAGTGGTGGCCAGGAACATGACTAGTAAGCAGCTGAGGTGAAATTGAACTCCACTGGATTTACCAGCTTCCCCCTTCTCCTGCCTTAGCATCTAGACTGAACCACTCTAATTTAACCTCCATGGCCACATCTATCTCGTTCAGTGGTTACCTCTCATTTTCCTTTTGCCTTCTCCTTGGCCATTCTCTTTTACAGCTTCAAATTTCACCTTTGTTTAAATGTCTTGATATGACAATTAGCCCCAAGTTACTGATGACAATGTGTAGCTTTCATCAAAAACTCTTCATTCTAAACCCCTTTCTCACCTGAGGCAAGATGATGCACACTTGACCACAAGTTTTGTTTTTAAAGATTTTTTTTTATGTGGACCATTTTTAAAGTCTTTACTGAATTTGTTACAATATTGCTTCTGTTTTGTTTTTTTGGCTGTAAGCCATGTGGGATCTTTGCTCCCTGACCAGGGATCAAACTCGCACCCCCTGCACTGGAAGGTGAAGTCTTAACCACTGGACTGCCAGGGAAGTCCCAGACCACAAGTTCCTAGAGAGGAGTATTGTCTATTAGAGTATGGTGTTTTATATAGGAAACATAATTCATTATCTCCCACCCCTTAATCCTAGGGACAGAGGTCTTCTCAATCCCGGATTCCATAGGCTTATGATGCTAATACAGCAAATAGATTTTAATGAGCTCCTTTGGTACTCAGCATCTTGGCCTGTGGCTGGGTAGCCATAGTTACGTCTTTTGTGGAAAGCCCTGAAGAGCAGGGTAAAGTGTCAGCAGGTTATCTCCAGGGTAATCTGAAGATACCAAGACAATGTCCTCATCTGCCTGGCTTCACACAGTTGTTCTGTGATCTTGATGCTCTGCTTCTTGACAAAACAGATGGCAGACAATGATCAGCAGCTTCTTTCATCTCACCCAGCTTGCAGATGGAAGCAGCTCTAGGTTAGTTGCTCAAAAAGTCAGTTGCTAAATGGCCAATTTAATGAATTTGCTTAAAAAAAACTAATTAATTTTAGCTTACCAGTTTTAATCTTGTCTTTTTAAAAAAACATTAAATTTGTCTCTCCAAGATTTCTTGCTGCTGTAGTTATAGACCAATAGGACAGCTGAAGAGATATAACAGCCATATTCAAGTATATGATCTTTAAAATATACTTGAGTTTGAAATATTCTCATAAATTTTTGTGAATATATACTTTTGCTGTCAACCAAATGAAACAGTTAAATGAGTAAATTTAGCCCGTGGCTTTCTATGAACTTCCCTGCTGCGTCTGTGTGGCAAGTTTGGTGTAGTTCTAGACTGATCTGTTCATAAGTCCCATGACTTTCCTCCTCTGAAATGTGTTTGCTCAAGTAAGCCCCTTGGCATTCTACATGTTTGCTAAGGATCAATGGATTGTTTTTGTCTCCATCTTAAAACATATTTACCTGGCGTTTTTGCAAGTACTTGACAGCCCCTCACCCCCATTATGTTTATCCAGCACAAATCCTTGGATACCCTGCTGGGTGTAGGTCATTCCAAGCCATGAGCACTGTGATCACTTAATGTTTCATTAACACTTTTCTGTTCACGCTCACATCTAAGATACCTCATGGTTTCAATTAATAAAGTCTCTGCAATGCCAGGATATAAATACACACAAGCAAGCAGTGAAGCCTAACTAAACAGTGAGCATTTCCAGAGATAGTAGCTTTGGGGTTTAAGTTTCTGTCTCACCACTATTGATATGTGGGGGTGGACAATTCTTTGTTGTTGGGGGTTGTCCTGTGCATTATAGGATGTTCAGCATCATCTCTTTCACCCACTAGATGCCAGCAGCACTCCTTCCTCAGTGCTACCAAAAATGTCTCTGGACATTGCCAAACGCCCCATGAGACAACACTGTCCTCAGTGTACAAATACTGAAGTTGATTTTCAGTACAACCCTCTCACAGGGAATCCTAAAACGCTTATGTAGGATTTCACCATAAAGCCCAGTGTTTTACTTCACTAACATCACACAAAGATGATTGTCAGCTCAAAGGATTCAATGATGGCTCATAATATGCTAGGATATAGCAGATAGCTGTACAAAGACTGTTTGAGGCTACAAACCTGATCTGCTATTATCTTTATTACATAAGTGGTTATGTTTCTAGTTGAGCCCTCCAATGACAGCTTGTTTAGATTGAGGATGCCTGCTCAGGCAAAACATCATTCAGGTCCACAACTATAGAACAGTTGCCAGTTTGGTTATTGAGTTCCAGGCACAATCTGATTTTGTTTTATGATTTTTTCCAATAATTTTTTTTAAACAAAATAGGCTACAGGAAATCAAACTGCACAAGCATCACATCATCACCATGTGAAAAACACTGCCAAAAACAATACTGCATGGGTTAAAAGTAGATCCTATGGGCTCCATTAAAAGGTTTGAAATCCCTTTTACAATAAAAAAAGAATATCCACTCAAGCTTAAGAGATTAGTTGTAGGAATATAATTTCATTTTTCATCACAATACTTATACAACTTTTAAAAATTGAGGTACAATTGACATAGAACATTATATTAGAATTTTAATTATTTTTTAAAAATGCTATATATGCTATCTTCTAAATACCACAGTGGAGTTGGTGTTAATGAGCCTAATTTTCCAAGAATAAGTATCAGGAGTAAGTATTCCTTTTTTTTTTTTTTTAAACACACTTGATAGAGTACTACTTACAGATGAGATGCTTTAGCCAGTGGGAATCACTCTCTTCATAATCCTGTTATTTATTATACATGTGGGAGGGGAAAAAAGAACAAATTGTTCCAACTCCCTACATAATTGAGGTTGGGTCTATTTTAAACAAAGCCTTCAGTTCCAGGTTTAAATCAACTTAACCTGGATCTCCCTAGAACTGCTAATTCAAAATTCCCTGAGGTTGTGTCAAATGAACTCCTGCTGAAAAATCCTGGCACTGAGAGGTGCACAGAGAGATGATGCGCAAGACTCACTCCCATGACACCCTCCCTTTCTTTCCAAGCTTCCTGCTTGCACCCCTTATCCTTTTTAATCCATGTCCTATAATTCTTAACTCAGTCTTTCCAGTCTTCCTAGGATAATTTAAATAAGATCAGGTGTGTGTGTCTGTGTAATTAGCACATAGGATATATATGTTTTAATTTTGTTAATCTATCCTATTTCCTTATATATGTGTACATATATATATTCCATATATATGCATGCATGTGTGCATGACGCGTACACACATACAAACACTCACAACCCCACTTAGGAGGGCAAATGCTTGGTCAGCTTATGCTCTCAAATCACAGGAAAATAAAAGATGTCTGAAGACTTAACTTGGGAATGAGCTAACAAGTACTTTTTTACTACAGGGGAATTTTTTTAAAACAAAAACCACCCCAAAAAATTACAACTCTTTAAAAACTGATATGGCTCTTATAAAACATTTGAAATGGTAAACACCCATACACAAAACTCACAGATTCAACTATATAATACGAGTCAATTAACATAAAAGAAAAATAAGTCTGTTTTCCTTTTGATTTTATACAATTTAATTATTTTATTTTACACTTTTAAAATTCATTTTGGACCTAGCATGTCCTGGCGTTTTATACACTGACCAAACTGCTCTGCTAGAGACAGTCAAATTCAATAGCAGTTTCCTTTCACATTTATCCATTTTTGTTTAAGAAATATAAGGAGTCTGTTTCACTTTTTATTTTATATGACAATAATTTTTATTATGAATTTATTTAAATCACTTTGGACCCAGCATGTCCTTAGGTTTTACCCACTCATCAAACTGCTCTGCTGTGAGATAGCCAAGTTCAATAGCAGTTGCCTTTAAGGTCGATCCATTTTTGTGTGCGGTCTTAGCAATCTTGGCTGCTTTGTCATACCCTAAAGAAAAAATTAAAAGGCGATGTAGGAGTTAATAGTGAAACTTGGTTTTCTAAAGCAAAAGGTAATTGTTATTATTTACTTAATGCTACTGGTCTCTTAAGTAAACATTTTTTAATCTTAAAAATATTTAGCAGTGGATTATCTTGATAGTTGTCGTTTCTTATATGGACTAAAACCTTTACTTTTCTGAAGTAATACATACTTCCCTTTCTACAAGATTTGTCCCTAAATTAAAACTGCCCACTAACCCAGATATTTTCATAAGGGGGAAAATATATACACATAGATGCATCTCTCTCTCGATATATATGTATACACATACACACGCACACACACACACACACACACACACACATAATGGCACCAAGAGATAAAAGTATACATCTGACTAGTATAAATGTGCTGTTTCAATAGCATGCTTAACCAGAAAAATTATCTTTCTAACAAAGCATTAACAAGCTCAATGCTGCAGCACTACAGAAAATACAGGACTGCACAACCAGGAACTATATGGTAAAGGGCTCTAAGAGGGAAAAGAGAGGAGAGTCCTCTCACAATGAGGGAAGAGCTGGCAGGGCTCTGAGAGATGAGCCTTCAGGGCTGCTTCCAATATCTCTCTCTGGTTCAGCACTCCATGCCCTGGCCTCCTTCCAGACATTACAAGGGTACAAGTTGGGAAGTTTTAGTATAAATATATACTTGTGCAAGAGATCACAGGTCTACTGTTTACTTCAAAGTTACTTGCTTTTACAATTAATAAAGATAGGGGCAGGGCAATTCTGCAAGTTATCTCGGTTTAATGTTAACAACGACAAAAAAAGAAGGCAAAAACCAGAAAGAAGGGAAAAAACAAAAATGAAACCAGTGAAAGAGAAAAAAAAAACAACAGAAAAAACCAACCCAGGATTAGAGGACTATGACCAGAGAGAAGAAGCCTGCTGAAGCAATATGATTATTGACCAAGCAACACGTTATGTGTCATGTGCAATTATCAACCACCTACAATATGTTATGTGTAGTATGCAATTAATCTACCTATAAACATATTATGGACATAGTTAATAAAATTAATTTGTGAATGCTAAGCATGTTGAAAAGGGCATTTACTGGTCAGACTAACTTTGAGAGAAAGAATTCTCACGTCAAACCTTTGGGGTTAATATTAGACATTCTGTACTTTTCCGTTAATAATGACATTAAAGTCTATGCATTATGCTAACCCTTTCAGTTCTCTTCTTCAAGCCCCACAAAACATGATTACCAATCAGCCTGTTATATATAAGCACAAACAGAACCCATGATGTGGAGTTGTAAGGCTCATGCTTTGTCAACCAGTAAGGTGTGGTTTGCCCACTTATCCTTGTATGGCCTTTACCTCACATTAAATTGTCTAAGAAAGACATCAATCATTCTGCTTTAGGAGTATCTCTAAATGTTTCTGTAACAAATTCTGAAGTATATATGTGATGAAACATTTCTCACATAAGCCTTTGGGTTCCTCTGTATATCTCTCCAGTTGAATGCTGATGTACAATTATTTCAAAAGAACCCAGTATTACTGTCAATCTTAATACTATTCCAAAGAGCAGATAGCATATTGGGCTCAGAGCTACCTGAAGCAGTTATATGAGCTCTAACTTTATAAGACTGAAATTACAGCTTGACATGAAGCCAAGAATATAAAATCAGCCTTGAAAGTTCAGGATTATTGAAGTAAGACTGTTTTAAAACAGTAATCATATCACACCAAATGACTGCATCATAACTTGTTCTAATGTAGAAAATCAAAGAATATGTTAATAACCTCAGCTCAGCAGTAAGGAGAAGGTGGGAAAAGGCTTTTAACACATTATAACAATGCAATGAATGCCTCAAAATCCATGACAAAACAGTGTATTTAATGGGGATCACTAGTCAATCTATAATCCAAGCTAACATTTTTGAATCTACATAATGAAATATTTATAAATCTGGAAAAGGCTTGCAACACAAAAGCCATGGTTTTAGACAAAATATTTGTATTTCCCCCCTTTCCCTATAATCTATGCATACATAACCCTTTTTCTTTTAATTTAATCCATTTCTGAGTTGAATAAAACAACAAAAACAAAGTATAGTATAGCATCTAGAGAAGGTAGAAAAACGAATTCATTCAGTGTTGTTAATCAGCCAGTGCCACCTAGTGACATTAAAAACTGAGAGGACACCTAATATCTGAATTTAGTGTCCCACAGTATCTGAATTCCATTAAGATTAAAATAAGTTTAAAGTTCTACTTCTGAACTTAGCACATTTCAAATAAAATGAAGCATAATCAATCAAGATTTTGGAAGAAATATGATACCATAAAGGTTATATATATATATAGAGCGTCTTTCAACACAATGTGAAATGTCTTAAGAGATTGTCCAAAAGACATCTGTTGTTCACAAACATTGATCCAGTAGTCTCTTAAAAAATTTTCAGCCTTTAACTGTATTCAAAATGACACTATTATTCTTTAAACACATACCTATATGAGGATTAAGAGCTGTCACCAACATTAGAGACTCATTCATTAGCTTGTTGATCCTTTCTGTGTTGGCCTGGATTCCCACCACACAGTTTTCTGTGAAGGAAACTGATGCATCCCCCAACAGTCTGGCTGAGTGCAACACATTTTTAATCTAAGAGAGAGAGACAAACTTATTAAGCCTAACTTTTTTCTTTGTTCAATAACACATTATTTGCGATTCATAAATGAGTATGTAATACAATTAACATATAGCACTCTTACAACCTGTAAGGCACCATACCCAAGAAAACAAATATGAAAGAAATTATAAACATCTGAGGGCACCGAAGTGCCCTTTTAAGAGGTATAAAGGCATGAATACAAATAAATAAAACACAAGATAGTCTGTGGTGTTATAAAATACAGGTATGAAATGTTAAAGAGCATAGAGGGAGAAATAAATTCCAGTTGTAGGAGTTGATAAAGTTTTATTTGATGGAGAGCACTTAAATAGCCAGAGATGGAAAAAGAATCTTCTATGCAGAAGGAAGAGAAACAAAGATGCAGAGGTTAGAAATTCAGCGTGAGGAGACTGGTTCAAGATGGCAGAGTAGAAGGATGTGCTCTCAGTCCCTCTTGCAAGAACACCAGAATCACAACTAACTGCTGAACAGTCATCGACAGGAAGACACTGGAACTCACCAAGAAAGATAATCCACATCCAAAGACAAAGGAGAAGCCACAATGAGATGGTAGGAGGGGTGCAATCACAATAAAATCAAATCCCGTAACTGCTGGTGGGTGACTCACAAACTAGAGAACACTTATACCACAGAAGTCCACCCACTGGAGTGAAGGTTCTGAGCCCCACATCAGGCTTCCCAACCTGGGGGTCTGGCAACAGGAGGAGGAATTTCTAGAGAATCAGACTTTGAAGGCTAGCGGGATTTGATTGTAGGACTTCGACAGGACTGGGGTAAACAGAGACTCCACTCTTGGAGGGCACACACAAAGTAGTGTGCTCATTGGGACTCAGGGGAAGGAGCAGTGACCCCATAAGAGACTGAACCAGAACTACGTGCTAGTGTTGGAGGGTCACCTGCAGAGGCAGGGGATGGCTGCGTGTCACTGTGAGGACAAGGACACTGGCGGCAGAAAGTCTGGGAAGTGCTCCTTGGAGTGAGCCCTCCCAGAGTCTAACATTAGCCCCACCAAAGAGCCTGGGTAGGCTCAAGTGTTGGGTCACCTCAGGCCAAACAACCAACAAGGAGGGAACCCAGCCCCACCCATCAGCAGGCAAGTGGAACAAAGTTTTACTGAGCTCTGCGCACCAAAGCAACAGCCAGCTCTATCCACCGCCAGTCCCTCCTATCAGGAAACTTGCACAAGCCTCTTAGACAGCCTCATCCACCAGAGGGCAGACAGCAGAAGCAAGAAGAACTACAATCCTGCAGCCTGTGGAACAAATACCACATTCACAGAAAGATACACAAGATGAAAAGGCATAGGGCTATGTACCAGATGAAGGAACAAGATAAAACCCCAGAAAAACAACTAAATGAAGTGGAGATAGGCAACCTTCCAGAAAAAGAATTCAGAATAATGATAGTGAAGATGATCCAGGACCTTGGAAAAAGAATGGAGGCAAAGATCGAGAAGATGCAAGAAATGTTTAACAAGGATCTAGAAAAGTTAAAGGAAAAACAAACAGAGATGAACAACACAATAACTGAAATGAAAAATATACTAGAAGGAATCAATAGCAGAATAACTGAGGCAGAAGAACGGATAAGTAACCTGGAAGACAGAATGGTGGAATTCACTGCTGCGGAACAGAATAAAGAAAAAAGAATGAAAAGAAATGAAGACAGCCTAAGAGACCTCTGGGACAACATTAAACACAACAACATTCACATTACAGGGGTCCCAGAAGTAGAAGAGAGAGAAAAAAGACCAGATAAAATATTTGAAGAGATTATAGTCGAAAACTTCCCTAACATGGGAAAGGAAATAGCCACCCAAGTCCAGGAACTGCAGAGAGTCCCATACAGGATAAACCCAAGGAGAAACACGCTGAGACACATAATAATCAAATTGGCAAAAATTAAAGACCAAGAAAAATTATTGAGAGCAACAAGGGAAAAATGACAAGTAACATAAAACGGAACTCCCATAAAGTTAACAGCTGATTTCTCAGCAAAAACTCTACAAGCCAGAAGGGAGTTTCATGATATACTTAAAGTGATGAAAGGGAAAAACCTACAACCAAAATTACTCTACCCAGCAAGGATCTCATTCAGATTCGATAGAGAAATCAAAAGCTTTATAGACAAGCAAAAGCTAAGAGAATTCAGCACCACCAAACCAGCTCTACAACAAATGCTAAAGGAACTTCTCTAAGTGGGGAACACAAGAGAAGAAAAGGACCTACAAAACAAACCCAAAACAATTAAGAAAATGGTCATAGGAACATACATATCGATAATTACCTTAAACGTGAATGGATTAAATGCTCCACCAAAAGACACAGGCTTGCTGAATGGATACAAAAACAAGACCCATATATATGCTGTCTACAAGAGACCCACTTCAGACCTAGGGACACATTCAGACTGAAAGTGAGGGGATGGAAAAAGATATTCCATGCAAATGGAAATCAAAAGAAAGCTGGAGTAGCAATACTCATATGAGACAAAATAGACTTTAAAATAAAGAATGTTACAAGAGGCAAGGAAGGACACTACATAATGATCAAGGGATCAACCCAAGAAGAAGATATAACAATTACAAATATATATGCACCCAACATAGGAGAACCTCAATACATAAGGCAACTGCTAAAAGCTCTAAAAGAGGAAATCGACAGTAACACAATAATAGTGGAGGACTTTAACACCTCACTTACACCAGTGGACAGATCATCCAAACAGAAAATTAATAAGGAAACACAAGCTTTAAATGACACAACAGACCAGATAGATTTAATTCATATTTATAGAACATTCTATCCAAAAACAGCAGATTACAATTTCTTCTCAAGTGTGCTCGGAACATTCTCCAGGGTAGATCACATCTTGGGGCACAAATCCAGCCTCAGTAAAGTTAAGAAAATTGAAATCATATCAAGCATCTTTTCTGGCCCCAATGCTATGAGATTAGAAATCAATTACAGTGAAAAAAACATAAAAAGCACAAACACATGGAGGCTAAACAATACGTTACTAAATAACCAAGAGATCACTGAAGAAATCAAAGAGGAAATAAAAAAATACCTAGAGACAAATGACAATGAAAACACGATAATCCAAAACGTACAGGATGCAGCAAAAGCACATCTAAGAGGGAAGTTTATAGCTATACAAGCCTACCTCAAGAAACAAGAAACATTTCAAACAATCTAATGTTACACTTAAAGGAACTAGAGAAAGAAGAACAATCAAACCCAAAATTAGCAGAAGGAAGAAATCATAAAGATTAGATCAGAAATAAATGAAATAGAAACAAAGAAAACAATAGCAAGGATCAATAAAACTAAAAGCTGGTTCCTTGAGAAGATAAACAAAATTGATAAGCCATTAGCAAGACTCATCAAGAGGGAGAGGACTCAAATCAATAAAATCAGAAATGAAAAAGGAGAAATCACAACTGACATTGCAGAAATACAAAGGAGTGTAAGAGATTATTACAAACAACTATATGCCAATAAAATGGTCAACCTGGAAGAAATGGACAAACTGTTAGAAAGGTATAACCTTCTAAGACTGAACCAGGAAGAAATAGAAAATATGAACAGACCAATCACAAGTAATGAAATTGAAACTGTGATTAAAAATCTTCCAACAAACAAAAGTCCAGGACCACATGGCTTCACAGGTGAATTCTATCAAACATTTAGAGAAGAGCTAACACCCATCCTTCTCAAAGTCTTCCAAAAAATTGTAGAGGAAGGAAAACTCCCAAACTCATTCTATGAGGCCACCATCACCCTGATACCAGAACCAGACAAAGATACTACAAAATAAGAAAATACCAGACCAATATCACTGATGAATATAGATGCAAAATTCCTCAACAAAATACAAGCAAACAGAATCCAACAACACATTAAAAGGTTCATACACCATGATCAAGTGGGATTTATCCCAGGGATGCAAGGATTCTTCAATATATGCAAATCAATCAATGTGATACACCATATTAACAAATTGAAGGAGAAAAATCATATGATCATCTCAATTGATGCAGAAAAAGCTTTTGACAAAATTCAACACCCATTTATGATAAAAACTCTACAGAAAGTGGGCATAGAGGGAATCTACCTCAACATAATAAAGGCCATATATGACAAACCCAAGGCAAACATCATTCTCAATGGTGAAAAACTGAAAGCATTTCCTCTAACAACTCTGTTGTTGGAATTCCTAGCCACGGCAATCAGAGAAGAAAAAGAAATAATAGTAATACAAATTGGAAAAGAAGAAGTAAAACTGTCACTGTTTGCAGTTCACATGATACTACACATAGAGAATCCTAAAGATACCACCAGAAAACTACCAGAGCTAATCAATGAATTTGGTAAAGTTGCAGGATACAAAACTAATGCACAAAAATCTCTTGCATTCCTATACACTAATGACGAAAAAACTGAAAGAGAAATTAAGGAAACACTCCCATTTACCATTGCAACAAAAAGAATAAAATACCTAGGAATAAACCGACCTAGGGACACAAAAGACCTGTATGCAGAAAACTGTAAGACACTGTTGAAAGAAATTAAAGTTGATACCAACAGATGGAGAGATATACCATGTTCTTGGATTGGAAGAATCAATATTGTGAAAATGAGTATACCACCCAAAGCAATCTACAGATTCAATGCAATCCCTATCAAATTACCAATGGCATTTTTTACAGAACTAGAATAAAAAATCTTAAAATTTGTATGGAGACACAAAAGACCCCCGAAAAGCCAAAGCAGTCTTGAGGGAATAAAAAGGAGCTGGAGGAATCAGACTCCCTGACTTCAAACTATACTACAAAGCTACAGTAATCAAGACAATATGGTACTGGCACAAAAATAGAAATATAGATCAATGGAACAGGATAGAAAGCCCAGAGATAAACCCACGCACCTATGGTCAACTAATCTATGACAAGGGAGGCAAGGATATACAATGGAGAAAAGACAGTCTCTTCAATAAGTGGTGCTGGGAAAACTGGACAGCTACATATAAAAGAATGAAATTAGAACACTCTGTAACACCATACACAAAAATAAACTCAAAATGGATTAGAGACCTAAATGTAAGACCGGACACTATAAAACTCTTAGAGGAAAACATAGGAAGAACACTCTTTGACATAAATCACAGCAAGATCTTTTTTGATCCACCTCCTAGAGTAATGGAAATAAAAACAAAAGTAAGCAAATGGGACCTAATGAAACTTAAAAGCTTTTGCAAAGCAAAGGAAACTACAAACAAGACAAAGAGACAACCCTCAGAATGGGAAAAAAAATATTTGCAAATGAATCAACAGACAAAGGATTAATCTCCAAAATATATAAACAGCTCATGCAGCTCAATATTAAAAAAACAACCCAATCAAAAAACGGGCAGAAGACCTAAATAGACATTTCTCCAGAGCACATACAGATGGCCAAGAAGCACATTAAAAGCTGCTCAACATCACTAATTATTACAGAAATGCAAGTCAAACTACAATGAGGTATCACCTCACACCAGTTAGAAGAGGCATCATCAGAAAATCTACAAACAACAAATGCTGGAAAGGGTGTGGAGAAAAGGGAACCCTCTTGCACTGTTGGTGGGAATGTTAATTGATATAGCCACTATGGAGAACAGTATGGAGGGTCCTTAAAAATCTAAAAATAGAATTACCATGTGACCCAGCAATCCCACTACTGGGCATATACCCTGAGAAAACCATAATTCAAAAAGACACATGCACCCCAATGTTCATTGCTGTGCTATTTACAATAGCCAGGTCATGGAAGCAACCTAAATGCCCATCGACAGACGAATGGATAAAGAAGAGGTGGTACATATATACAACGGATATCACTCACCCATAAAAAGGAACGAAATTGGGTTATTTGTAGAGATGTGGATGAATCTAGAGACTGTCTTACAGAGTGAAGTAAGTCAGAAAGAGAAAAACAAATATCATATTTTAACGCATATATGTGGAATCTAGAAAAATGGTACAGATGAACCTGTTTGCAGGGCAGAAATAGAGACACAGATGTAGAGGCCAAATGTATGGACACCAAGGGGGCAAAGCAGCAGTGGGTTGTGGTGGTGGTGTGATGAATTGGGAGATTGGGATTGACATGTATACACTGATGTGTATAAAATGGATGACTAATAAGAACCTGCTGTAGAAAAAAATAAAATAAAATTCAAAAAGAAAAAAGTTTAGTGTGAGCTTGAGGCAATCAGTGAAATCAGGGCTTCTCAGTTCTTAATGATCATATTTTTTATGCTTAACAAAACAAATATTTCATAATCCCCTGAAAATAACCTTTCACACAGTATTTTAAAACAGTATAAAGTCAATTCGTTTATTTTAGCAGTTTTTTTTCTTTCTGCTAACATTTCCAATATATATTAAGATATATATCCACACCCTAATCTCTGTGGTCTAAAATCCCAGGGTCTGAAAACCAGACTCCCAACAATGGCCTCTAGTAGAAGACACAGAACTTCAAGGTTTAATTTGATACTAATGACTTTATTATATGGCAAATGTTGATTATCTTGACTTATTTTCTATTAAAAACAAAACAGACCTTTGTTTAAAAAAATTTGGCAAGACACTTATTGTTATGCACATATATTTGCCAGGCAGCTGGTGTTAACTGTTTGGAATTTGACCTGAAAGCAAATGCTTATCGGTCTGGGGCTTCCCTGGTGGCGTAGTGGTTAAGAATCTGCCTGCCAACGCAGGGGACACGGGTTCAAGCCCTGGTCCGGGAAGATCCCACATGCTGTGGAGCAACTAAGCCCATGCACCACAACTACTGAGCCTGCAAGCCACAACTACTAAGCCCACGTGCCACAATTACTGAAGCCTGTGCACCTAGAGCCTGCACCCTGCAATGAAGAGCAGTCCCTGCTCACCACAACTAGAGAAAGCCCATGCACAGCAACAAAGGCCCAATGCAGCCAAAAATAAATTAATTAATTAAAAAAAAAAAGTTTATCAGTCTGAGTTGTGCTTTGGTCTGTCTTCTTTCTATTTTCCACCAGAATGTACATTCCATAAGGGCAAAAAAAAAAATCTGTCTTGTTCATTGTTTTATCACTAGCAATGAGTACAGTGCCTGACACAGACTAGTACTCAATAAATATTTGATGAATACACTGAATGAATACACTTAATATTTGTTATTTGCATATTCTTATTAAATTAAAATCAGGCTTTACACCAGACACAAACTGGAAATAAGCCTCTAATATATACTTAGATATAACACTTCACACAAATAAAGGATTGTAAATGATAATAGCTCCATTATCTGAAGTTGGGGAAACTGGATAAAAGATGATGCCATTTTGTTCTGTCTTCATAAAGATGAAGGAAAAAGAATAGATTGAGTGGACACAATGTTTTCAAGGTATGTGGAAGAGTAAAACCAATGGAAGAAAGCCTTGAGAAAGGGAAGAGAACTGGAGAGAAATTGCTGAAGGAATCAAGGACAAAGAGTGTTTCAAGGAGCAACAAGTCAAGGTCAGATGTTAGTTGAGAGCCATGGCATGTCTGCTGGACTCAAGAGGTCACAAGTGCTACAAGAACAATTCAAACATAAGTGCAGGGGTGGAAGCCAGACTGCAGTGCAAATGAGAGTGAGAGTGGGTATTTCTTTAAAAAGGCTGAATTCAGAGAGAGGAAGAAAGCAGCAGCATGAGAAGGAGACAGGCTGGAAGGAGAGTTTCTTTTTTTTTTTTAACTGAGGAGACTGGAACTTATTTCTAACAATTGGCATCCCCAGTGGTGAGGGAAAAGAAAGAAACCTATACCCTACTTCCAGAATTTTTCTTCCTATTATAAAAAGCAAACCACCAATTACTTAAGCTAAAAGTCACCTAATTAAATATACAGGATTAGTCCTCTAACATTAACATATGTTTAACTTCCAACTGCTAGGTATATTATCCAAGTACCTAAAGAACTGTAGGAAACCTTAATGAAAGACAGAAACCAAGACAACTAGCTTTCGGTTAAAGACATTAAAAATCAAATTTAAAGCTTACCATCAATGGCTTGAAAACATTCAACTCAAAATGTCCACTGCTGCCTCCAATGGTAATGGCGACATGATTGCCCATGACCTGGGCTGCAACCATGGTCAGTGCCTCACACTGGGTGGGGTTCACCTTGCCTTCAAGAAAACCGCCAAAGAGAGAAATCACATCAAACACACTTGTGGCTTCAAATATGAGTTTAAGATTAGGTTTTATATCAAATAACCAAGAGAAGAAGGAAAACTAACTTCATTAAATAAAGACATATAATAAAGCAATGTCCCAACCATCAGTGCTGTTTAATGAAACAAACCATATAGCCAGAAGCTCTGAATCATGCAATGGCTAATAAGTAGAGTACCTACAACTACACAGTAAATATAGCTCTTTTAACCTTCATGGCTTACATGCACTCTAGAAATATTTATGGAGCCAGGCACTGAATATACAACAGTGAGGAAGAAGGATGCAGCCCCTGCCCTCATAGAACTCGGAGGCGAGGGAGAGAGAACTGACAATTATAATAGATAAGGGGTCAATACAGAGAAGTGCAGACTGCTGTGGGAATACTTATAAAAGAAGCACCTCACCAACATCTGGGAGGCTTCCCAGAGGAAACTGATGTTAAGCTGGAATTTTCCTATTTGTGTTTCCAGAACCCTACCATCCTGTAACACTCCTCTGACAAGCTCAAGTTTGAACCGAACATCCCTGATTCCTCTGACAAGTACAAAGCAACACAGTGGGAAGATTAGTTCTTTATCTGTGACTCTGCATTTCTCTTTTTTAGGTAATCACCTTGAATTTGCAATCAACTGAACTCATGTCATTTTTCAACATGACATACTTTAAAATCAGATCTTTTCTCATTCTACACATGCCTAGATCTAAAAGAATCTATAGTCAGGTCTTTCTTTTTCACTCTTGTCAGTTTTAGTCCAACTACAGAGTCCTTTATGAATCTAGACTCTGTCATCTGATGTACTGCTATTTCAACTTTATCTGCTAATATGATCAACACATATTCTCTACCTTCACCCTCAGTCACCAGTAAAGTGGTGAAAGGGCACAGCCCTTCAGCTTGCTGCCAAGATATCCCTCCAGTCTGAAGTCAACTCATTAGGCACTCCTTAAATGTCACTGTTCACCCAGCTACATTCATCTAACAGTACTGCCCACACTTCTCCACTGGATTCCATGAATATCAAGTGAGTCCACCAAATGACTTACTGGAATCCAGACATCAAGAAAAGAAGGAAATCCAACTTCATTAAATAAAGTAAGACATATAATAAAGCAAGGCCCCAACCATATTTGTGGAGCCTCCCTTACCTAACTGGCTAAAACCTAAAGCAAAAAATGAAATAAGAGGCATTTGATATAATTCATCTTTATTCATCCCATGCAGATCACTTTAACAGCCTGTTTTAGAATTCTATTTGCTTTGGATTGTGAAAGATAGAACTATTACATATTTTCTAAGGTGGAAATCAAAATACATGCTGCTAACTAAAATTCTTTTCTCCTATATTGTTGGGTGATGTCCCCAGAAGTCCTGATCAAAAGCAGCCCACAAAGACATTGTGAAACAAGGGCACCACACATGTCCCTATCCACTTTGAGATCACGTTAAACAAAAGCAGATATGCTTTGTAGATGAGAATGCCTGGGTTCTAGTCAAGTTCCAGTTCTAACATTTACCAGCTATGTGATTACCTGGCATGATACTGCTTCCTGGTTCATTTTCAGGCAAAATCAGTTCTCCCAGACCTGAGCGAGGACCAGAACCCAGAAAACGAATATCATTTGCAATCTTCATCAGACTGCAAGCGGCAGTGTTCATGGCTCCACTGAGTTCAACCAAAGCATCATGAGCAGCCAAAGCTTCAAATTTATTTGGAGCTGTGACGAAAGGCAAGCCTGAAGAAAAAAATAATAACCTATATGAGTTAACAGGTAAAATTCAACATTTTTCTAATATCAGCAAGTTAAACAGAAAGTGCCAGTATATGAAAAGCAAAAAAAGAACAGAATAAAAATCTTACTTCAGAAAAAAATGCTTAAGACTCAAGCTTTGTCTACATTTCTTCAAGAAGTCCTAAAGGGGTAGAAAATCTGATGATATTAGCACACTTAAAAGATAAAAAGAACAAGTACAATAAATGTTGAAAGAAATATAAAATATTGAAAGAAAAAACATTATCCTACTGCAAACACCTGTGTATGATGCCTGACTGCGCTTGAGTAAAGAGGAAAAGTAGGTAAAATTCACTCTGCTTTATTCCACACTCCTTTCCTAGTACAATTTTTCCCCCATTTTAGGTGTTCTATTCTCTTCTCTAGCCAGGACCCACAAGGTCCTCTGAGAGATTAGGGAGCCAGAATGAGTTAGACATTCTCAATCTCTCCCATGTTCAAATTTTTAAAAATCTACATATTCTAAACCCCATAATACAGTTCTTCTTGATTAAAATTTGATTAAAAAAATCTCTGCTAGTAAGCAATAATAAGCATTGTATAATTACCTGTACCCTAACTCTCTGGTAATATCTGCATCTTAATAAGAGTTTTCTGGAGATAATAGCTCTAATAACAGTTATCATTATCAAGAGCACAGTACTCTACTAAAGGAAAGAGAATTCAAAAAGGTCATTAATTCAAAGAAATGTCACAGCATGCCATAGGAAAAAAAGAAATTAAGCCTGTCAATCTCTAACATATTTGTCATTCAAATGAATTTCTCAACCATCAGTTGATTCCTCCTGCTTTGAAAATGAGTATTCAAAACAGCTTTAAATGGAAAATAATTGAATACTACCAGATAGTAAGCAAATTAGCACTGACAGATTTTAATAATTACATGCTGTATGAACTTACAGATGGAAAACTTTAAAAAAGCAAAAGGTTAACATTACAACTTCTGAAATAGACACAAAGTACATGTTTGATGGGAAAATATTATTTCTAACTTTAAATTTGTAAGAATTCAAAGCAGAAACACCCAGAAAAATACAGACTAGTATAATGGAAATGAGTAATAAACCGTGTTATCACCTACCTGTGAGTGCAGCCACTTTTGCGGCAACCTTTTCTGCAAAGCCAATTCTAGTATTTAAACCAGTACCGACAGCAGTGCCCCCAGCTGCGAGCTCATAGATTCTTGGCATGGCACCTTTTATTCTTGTTGTTGCATATTTCACTTGTTGAACATAACCACTAAATTCCTGAAAAGCAAAAGAAATTAAGGTGAGAATATATAATGTTCTAATGGCATACAAGTTACTCTAACTACATTAAATTCAAGTTTTTAAAAAACACGTTTCAGGTACAAAATTAGAAGCTACTCAAGTGGTAACTGTATTATTTGATTCATACAATAAACAAAGTATAGGAGAGAAAGAGAATTTATAAACCTATCAGGTAGACAATGCCACTGATAACATGTGGCCTATTTATAAACTAGTCTTTCCATAGAAAGCAAAGAAAAACAACACAGGAAATTTAAAAAAAAACTTTACTAGATTAAATTATTGGTTTATTTGTAAATTATTTACTTTTTGGTGTATCTCAAACAACTCTGAGAAAGAAAAAAACTGAATCCCCTCAAGAAAAATGCAAACATAGAAATATCCTCCATACAATTTCAGTTAAAAAACCTGATATGGAATTTGAGGATGTTTTACAGGGACTCAAGAAGCTATGTGACTCACTGAACAGCACAAGAAGGTAACAGGTTAGAGTTAAGACTATAGCTTCAATATGCATTTTAATTCTGCTATTAATACCACACTGGTTCCCACAGTATAACATCCTTTAAGTAAAGTAAACACAGAATTCATCATGTTTAGAACATAGCAAGGGCCCTATCAAGAATTATGCAGGGACAGAAGGCATAAGCTAGAACTCAACTGAGCAAGCTGGGATATAGGGTTACACTAAATCTTTTCTTCCTGCCTAAAAACACTGAAAAATCATGAATACTTTTGATTAGTACTAGGATTTCACACTGCTCTAAAGAAAATGTTTTAGAAGATACAACTCCTTTCAGGTAGACCTGATCCATCTGATCTAACACCACTTACATATACACCAGCTGGATTCACTTCAGGAATATATTTTTATTGAGGAAAACAACTGTACTCAAAAACCTCAAAAGACAATTACAATAAAAGCAAGTATAAATGCTTCTGATAAGATAAAATCAAAGAGAAAAAAAAAAAACTTTCTGTCATAATACGAAGAATGATGATTTTACATAGGAGGCTGAGTAAATGGCCCAACCAGACTTTAGCATATAATGGTTTTCCTACATGTAACACACACAAAAAGGAGTATCCAGAGGGATACTCAAAAGTTCAAAAACATATACTGTATCTCCTTAGAAATTATGCACGGTACTAAGAGCCAATGATGTAAAGAGAAATAAGATACAGCCTAAGAAACAACTTAATTTAGCAAGCTCAGTTTAGTCATATCATCTGTATGTCAATTAGTCACTTCCAGTTTTCCTCATTCCTTCCGTGATAAAGTTAAGGTAAATTGATCAAGTTTTTTTTCAGTGTTTGCTGTCATCTGAACAAAACTACAAATGAAATCTTTCCAAATAACCAGCAGCCAAACTCTCTCCCTCACCTGAATTTCTACAAAAATACTGTTATTGGATACCTATCTTTTGATACTTGATATAGAATTTGCATATGTCCTACCTCCCAAACTGGAGTGAACTTAACTGAGACAAAAACTGTTCCTTGTATTTCCTTTGCAATGTATACTATTAGGCATTCTTTAAAGTATCAATAAAGAAACATAAAAATACTTTCTGGTATTTTGGAAAAGAGAGAAATACCTCTTTTACATGTGGCCAAAACAATTGTAAAGAGTAAGATATGCCCCATTTAATCATTTTAAAATTAATTTTTACAGAACTTACTAATTTTGAGTAAGAGAGACAATGGAAGAAATTATGGTAATGATACTGATGAAGATGACGATGACAGCTAACACCAACATGTGCTTATAATGTGTCAGGGACGGTTCTAAGCACTCTACATGAATCAGCTTATTTGAACCTCATAACTATCCTATGAAAGAGATATTTTCCTCATTCTACAGCTCAGAAAACTGATGCACAGAAAGGCTAAATAATTTTCCTAAGGTCCAATAGTTTGCACATAGCAAAGTAAGATTTGAACTCAAGTAGACTGATGTGGAGTCTGGCTCATAGCCAGTATGCTCTGCTCTTCTGAGTGGATACCAATAAAAACTACTGACTGGTTAATGCAGAATCATCTGTCACTGAACTGAATTGTTATAAATTTGGTCTTTTAAACTAGTGTGATTTAGAGGGTAATATGCTGGCCGTTTGTACCAAGCTCACAATTGAACCAAATCTAATTGCACGCAATATACCTGCCCAAGAGTAAGTGGAACAGCATCCTGTGTATGAGTACGCCCAATTTTGATGATCTGGGCAAATTCTTTGGATTTTGCATCAAGGGCATCATGTAGCTTCTGTAGTCCTGGTAGCAGTACTTCATGAACTTCTACTGCAGCAGCAATATGCATTGCTGTGGGAAAAGTATCATTTGAGCTCTGTTGGAAAATTTTCAAAAGAAATGTAAAATGTTAAATCAGAGGCAAAAATAAACCAAACTTGAATGCCTCAATTAAACATCTCACTAAATGACTACTCAAAACTTGGCTATTTAGTACTCAATTACATTTACCTGTGGCAAGTCACTTAGGATCAAATAAGAAGCAACCTGATTTCCTTTGTGGAAGGTATTTAGGACTGTATTACATATACCACCTACAATGAATGTATTATATGTTACTCTATCTGCTTGCTAAGAAATGACAGCAAGACATAGAAAAGTACAACTAGCAAATGTATGTAAGGATAGCAATAATAAAATATCTTACAGTTAAATAGCACATACAGTCTTTCACAAACACTTCTTCCTTTACTAAACTTGAGGAAAATTCTGTGAGGTAGGTCACCACTTTAAAAATAGAAAAGCTAAACTGTCAAAGAAATTATGTGACTTGCCAACATTTTTACGGTTGGCAGAACTGGGACCTGATCAGGTAGTCTAAACTCCATGCTCTTTCCTCAACTGTAAACCCATACTTTTAAATTACGATGCTATTTAAAAATATATATTCATTACTCATTTGTTGAACTTTGTATTATGGACATTATCAAACTACTTACAAAAGTAGGATGAATGGTATAATGAACACTCATGTATCTACCACCTGAATTCAAACAATTAGCATATAGCCAATCTTGTTTCATCTATAACTCCACCTCACTCCTCCATCTGACCATACACACTAGATTATTCTGAAGTAGATTTCAGACTTCAGTATATGTAAAAGATAAACTCGGGCTTCCCTGGTGGCGCAGTGGTTGAGAGTCCGCCTGCCGATGCAGGGGACGTGGGTTCGTGCCCTGGTCTGGGAAGATCCCACATGCCACGGAGCGGCTGGGCCCGTGAGCCATGGCCGCTGAGCCTGCGCATCCGGAGCCTGTGCTCCGCAACGGGAGAGCCCACAACAGTGAGAGGTCCGCGTACCGCCCCCCCCCAAAAAAAAAAAAAAAAAAAAGATAAACTCATATTTAAAGGCAAGACTTGGGTTTGCAAAATCCTTCATACAATGGATTTATGTGAAAAAACTTCCTCACTACTTAAAAATATATTAAATTATACTCAGAACCCAGATCTTGGTTTTTAAATATCACTTCCCAATAAGTTATAAGATCCTCCAAGAGCTCTTTGGAAAAATGAGTGCTTATGAGGGCTAGGGCAGGAAAAATACAAGATGAGAAGCCTGGAGCATCTTATAGTGCAAAAAATTAATCAGTGCCTTAAAAAAGAAAAAGGATGGTGGCATGTCCAAAGGACATAGGAGCCAACAAGCTGTGGCTCTGTGGCAACAATACGAGTAGCAATATAAATATCAAAAATACTGGTTTATAACCTTAAGAAAAAAATATTAATGAATGCATACTGATATACATAAATGATTAAATAAATAAATGTCAGGGGAGAGAGAAGACAGTATTCCTTACAGAAAAATTTCAATTAATAAATGTAGAAAGAATGAGGGAAACAGAAAATCACTACTGAAACACTAATGTAGTTGTTATTGGCAAGATCCACTGATGAATGTTAAAATGAATAGGCAAAAGTTTAAGGAGAAAGAGGCTATTTGAATAGCCTCAAAGTTCTCTATTAATTCTGTGGTGATCTTAACACATGTCCAAAAATTTCTTGATACTCTTCCATTTAGGAAGTGGAGCTTAAGTGTAGTAGCTGGAGTATAGGCTGGACACAGTGGCTTACTTCTACCAAATAGAGAATAGAAGATGGAGAAACCAGGGAGACACCATCCTAACCAAGTGATTCAAGTTAACATCACCAGTACCAAGTCATGTTGCTATCATGTACCCCTGATACAATGCAAGAAGAGCCCTTCATTTCTATAAGTCTTTCCAAAAATCCACAGTCTCAGTCTAATCATGAGAAAACAACAGACAAACCCATATTGAGGGACATTCTATAAAATACCTGGCCACTGCTTTCAAGAGTCACAAAGACAAAAGACAAGCTTTCATAGATTAGAGGAGACTAAGGGGATATGATGACTAAATACAATGTGGAGCATGGACTGGATCCTGGTTAAGAGAAAAAGGAGATCAATAGAAAACTAGGGAAATCCTAATAAAGCCTGTTTAATTAAGAGTATTGTACCAATGTTAATTTCTTAGTGTGACAAATGTACCAGGGTTATGTAAAATATTTAATATTAAGGGTAGCTGGGTGAAGGGTATACAGGAACTCTGAAATATCTTTGCAATTCTTATAAATAATTTTATATTTCAAAAGAAAGAGTTTTTAAAATATAAATCAAACAGCGAAAATATACATATATACTAAATTCAGGTGTCCTAAAAGTGATTTTTTTCCCTAAAGGTGCTTTTTATGAAAATTTAAGATACAGGCTCAAGATTCCTAAAAGAAATAAGGAGAAGAAGTCCTTTCCATTAAAGAATATAAGCAGAATGAACACTCCCTGTCAAAAGTTAATGCCTGGGGCTTCCCTGGTGGAACAGCGGTTAAGAATCCTCCTGCCAATGCAGGGGACACAGGTTCGAGCCCTGGTCTGGGAAGATCCCACATGCCGCGGAGCAACTAAGCCCGTGCACCACAACTACTGAGCCTGTGCTCTAGAACCCATGAGCCACAACTACTGAAGCCTTTGTGCCCTAGAGCCGTGCTCTGCAACAAGAGAAGCCACCGCAATGAGAAGCCCATGCACAGTAATGAAGACCCAATGCAGCCAAAAATAAATAAATTTAAAAAGAAAAAAAAAACCTCATAAAAAAAAAGTTAATGCCTGTTTTACAAGGAAAATCTCAGGATTCTTTTCAAGTTATAACAAAGAAAAGATCGTATACCGACCTGGCTTTTATTAACATGATCATTGGGATGCACAGGTTTCTTGCTGCCAAGTTGACCTCCTAGCATTTCAATTGCTCTATTGCTAATGACTTCATTTACATTCATATTTGTCTGGGTTCCTGATCCAGTCTGCCATACCACGAGAGGAAAATGATCATTTAATTTACCTTCAGCTACCTGCAGAGCAGAATGTTACAAAATGAATTTTAAAAAATAAGAAATATTCATTTAGCTATTTAAATCAAATATGATTAAGTTGGTACTATTTATAGTACTATTTTAAAGGTATTCACTTTTTTCATATGCTAGTGATGGTGCCAAATAGTTCGTGGTTGTCCAGCAAATTGAAGCTCCTGCAGTCTAACCACTGCTACTTTAAAAGGTGAAAGACTGGGGCATCCCTGGTGGCACAGTGGTTGCGAGTCTGCCTGCTAATGCAGGGGACACGGGTTCGAGCCCTGGTCTGGGAGGATCCCACGTGCCGCGGAGCAACTGGGCCTGTGAGCCACAACTACTGAGCCTGCGCATCTGGAGCCTGTGCTCCGCAACAAGAGAGGTCGCGATAGTGAGTGGCCCCCGCTTGCCACAACTGGAGAAAGCCCTCGCACAGAAACAAAGACCCAACACAGCAAAAATAAATAAATAAAATTAATAAACTCCTACCCCCAACATTTAAAAAAAAAAAAAAGGTGAAAGATTATCTATTGTGAATGGTATAACAATTTCACTGATTCCAAATGAAAACTGAATCAAAGATATCTTTCTCCTATTTCTCAACTGCCCTCTAATAATATACAGACAGACCCACCCACCCATTAAGGCTGGCAAATGTGTTAAGTCTCTAGATAAATTTACTGTTGGTACTCAAAAGGAATATCCAACAGATGTTACAGCCAGAGTCAGCATGATAATGAACGAGTGACTTAACACTGTGAGCTCACTAATAGCTACTGCATCCCACACATGTCCTATGAGTAGCAACCTCCAAGCATAGACATAAATATGGTCTAGATTTGTCCTTATTTTTGTCATATTTTTGTCCTTTTAGTTAATTTGTTAGTTTTTGGATTATAAGCTTTCTAAGAGAGTGGGTGCTTAACTTCACCTTCTGGAATGATTTTAGCTTAAAAAAAATCAGCATGCACTTTAGAAATCTATTACCTTAAACCACTGATTCACTTTAAAGTAAAGCTTTTTTCCTAGTTGTATAAAAATAACAGGTGATCAGTGTAAAAAATTCTGAGAACTAAGAAAAGTATAATAGTCATCATAGTTCTACCCTCAGAAATAAAGATGATTAGCATTTTGGCATCACCTTCTAGTCTCTACTTTCAGCAATGGGAGTATATTATGTAGATGTAGAAAAACATATTTTTCTGTTCATTTTTTCTAAATAAAATTAGGATCATAAAATACATGCATTTTGCAATCTTTCCTCCCCACTTCTTATATGGTAGGGTTTGTTCTATGACATTCTTTAAAAAACTAAATTTCCATGGCTTCACAATATAACTTACATAAGCAGCTGTTATAATAAATAGTACTGCAATGAACAACATTATATTCAGAGCTTTTAAACTGTTATCTCTGACTGCTTATCTTTAATTGCGTAAGCAATTAATTATGTTATTAGTGAAATAGTGAAATTACATTCTCCACACATAGTATCAAATAACCAACTAGCTTTAAAAGGAATCATCTATACATAAAACAAGAAATCAAATATATAAGTTCAAAGGGTATCTCTTCCAAGTTTTCTTTAAACTATATAAATTAAAAGGAAAAGTAAAGAAAATTAAAAATAAAAGGTATAAAATCACCCAGAAAATTTGCCACAATATTTTAAGCACCATATTAATATCCTCACCAAATAATAATGCTGCCATCCTATGCTGAAACTCATTAACTAAAGAATTCACAGCGCCCCTTTCCTCGTGTCAGCACTTATCATTATCCAGCAGTTAATATGGGTCTGATGCCATTAAGTAAACACACTTATCACCTCTTACCTCATCTGCTGCCTTCATTATTGCATTAGCAATCTTTGGATCAAGACCATAATCCTGGTTTACTTCAGCAGCTGCTCGCTTCAAGATGCCAAATGCTTTAATAACTGGGATCTAGAGTTAATCAGAAAAATATCTCAAATTTGCAATTTTAGTTAAGCATGAAAGTTTAAGATTACTATCTTATGCAGTTACAAAAATTTAAGATTACTATCTTATGCAGGTACAAAAAAAGGCATGAAAGTTTAAGATTACTATCTTATGCAGGTACATAAAACAATAACTTAAGTAACATTATGACCCTAAAATGTTTAGGATATAGAGAAAGATTAAAAATAGATATATAAAAACCAAGAATCATCATTTATCTATTTGTTTAGGGAACCAAACAAAAGCAAATACGATGACTTTTCATAGATATATACGTATGCCTCACACACACATATACACACATTCACACATATATACCATTCGTCCTATTTATTGTAAGACATTATAATGTATGTTTTTATTTCATATATTTAAAAACAAATGATAACCATTTCACCAGCCCACACCATTATTTCCCCTCACTGGATCCCGTGCTACATTATAAGTTTTCCTTCTCTTTAGAAAAAACTAAAAGTAGCAAACAAAATAAAGGTAGCAAAATGGTGCTGGGAAAACTGGCCACATGCAAAAGAATGAAACTGGACCACTATCTTATACCATACATAAAAATGAACTCAAAATGGATTAAAGGCTTGAACATTAAGATCTGAAACCATAAAACTCCTAGAAGAAAATATAGGCAGTAAGCTCCTTGACATCAGTCTTGGCAATGATTTTCTGGAGGAGTCCAAAAGAAAAAGCAACAAAAGCAAAAATAAACAAATGGGACTACATCAAACTAGAAAGCCTCTTCACAGCAAAGCAAACGTCAAAAAAATGAAAATGCAGCAGCTGGAAGATGCAGGACCCGAGTGCTGGAAGCCAGGGCTCCCTCATTGACAGTGGCCCTGTGTGGAGGCCGGAGGCTGCCAATGCCTCCAAGGAACAGGGTGCTGAGGGGCCCAGGGTCCAAGCACCTAGCTCCCCAAGGGCCACAGAAGCTCCTTGCTGTCCTGGAGCACTGAGCACGGAAGCATCAGGCCAAACGGGGCTTCAGGAGCCTACCTTCACCATCGCTGAGGGAGCCTGCGCCAGGGGCATGCTGGGGAGGGAGCGAGCAGCCCAGCCAGGCCTGGCCTGTGCAAGGCTCTCACCGCTGAGGCCCAGGGTGCTCTGACCTAGCTGGCATCTGACTCTGCAGTTTTGGATTTTGTGGGTCAATTTTACATACATATGGCATATGGGCAAGACCTCATACACTTATATCTGTAAGTGTAAAATGGGCTTGCCTTGGAGATGGGGGTGTTTACACATGAAGTCAGTGGCTCTTCTGTGAGCTGAGGAGTCTTAAAGCGGAGCTGTCATCTGCGGCTGCTGTCACAGTATGCTGGCAGGACAAGCGACTTGAGCGTTTCGCTGCCCGATTTGAGGCTCAGTCCCTCCCTCCCTGCCCTTCAGGGCTCGTGACAGGTGACACACCCAGGCCTTGACTGTGTTTCTCCTGTTAGCAGGACTTGGGCAGCTCTGGCTCTCCTAGCTTCCCTGGAAGCTCCTTTGCTTCTCTTGACCTAGAAAAGGGGTTGCCAGGCAGAGTGTTGATTGGGCGCTCAAAGCCAGCGATGAAACTGCTTCCCTGCCTAGGACAAGGGACCTGGAGAATGTTCTGTGTGGGATGATGTGCTGTTAGGGAGCCCCTCAGGCACCACTTCCTCTGCCCTCTGGTAGTGCCAGGACCATGCCAATGACGTTTCGCAGTAGCCTTATCATTCACAGGTGCCTCTCTAGCCTGCACAAATGCTTGACAAGAGATCACCCAAAGGATTTTTTCTAAAGGTTTTTGGGTTTTGTTTTGTTTCCTTTGTTTTTGTTTTGCACGTGACAGTGTTTGTATTGAGGATCTTCTGAGGAAGAAGGGGTGTTTTAGGGGTGGTGCCAGGGTTCCTGGCCTCTAGTGCCCCACTCCCCTCAGCACCCCACCTGGTACCTTTGCCATGTTGGGGCTGAGGTTTCCTGCTTGATGAAATCAGATTGTTTAGAGTAAGAAAAAGGAAAGGGCTTCTGATGGCTTTGCCACAAGCTTACCTGTGGTTTCAATCTTGGGAGGCCACTGCTGATGCCATCACCACTATCTCCATGCAGCAGTTACTGGGCCCTGGGCCCAACTGTCCCCTTGGCTTTATGAGTCTGTTTCTGCTTCCTACACCCATACCCGCAGTGTACAATCTTTTGAGATTTGCTCTGATCTTGTTGCCCAAATAATGAGAGCTATGTCGTCCTTGACATCTTACTTCTTATGTGGGAGCCCCCAGGTCTTGTCTGACAGCTTATGGATAAGAATGAGACTCAGCCATTGACTAAGCCTCAGAAATCCACAAAAATGGCTGCAGACAGTTATGTCTGTTCCTTCTCTACCCCCTCTCCCACCCCTTATACATGATACCCTATACTCTGAAAGTCCTGCTAACTGCAAACTTGCCAGAGTATTAGCCAATCTTTGTACAGAACAATGTTCTGGAACAGCAGAATGAGTCTTGGGTCAGGAAGCAGGGCTACACTGGGCTTGGGGTACTGTAACTCCATCTCCATCTGGGGCTCAGCTTCAGTGTACCTGAGGGAGCTACAGACCAAGATGAATCAGATGCTTGAGTTTTTGCTTCTTCCTGTATTTCCTTGAAGTCGATTCATTATCTTACAAATAGCCTACTCTTTCACCCCTTAACTTAAATCCTTCAGATAATTAAGTTCATGAAGAGTACTCCTGAATTATGTTAGGACTTAGACCAGAGATGGCAAATGAATGGCACATCACTTCCCCTCTTCCCCCATGGTAGGTACCACTAATCTGCTTCAGAGTATTTCCTGCTAAATCCCTGGTATATATTCTCATTTCTCAAGATTCCCCCAGCAGCCAGTATAAGTGTTGAGACCTATCTGCCATCCCTGGCTGAGGGGATACTACTCTACTCTGCTGAGGAACATAAGAGCTGCCAATCCCATACAGGGTTTGCTGGGCTAACGAAGCATGGGGAAGAGGCATAAGTTTCTGCCTGCCTCCAGCAGGAAGGCTTGCAATAGCCCACATGATTGCCTGCCCCACTTCAGTTACCTCTTAAAGTCCTAATGTTGGCAGGGAGGGGACTGTTGGAGTCCAGTGTGGTGTGGGAAATCACAGCCACACAGGACAGCAATGCTCAGAAACCAAGTCTAGCTGCTATGGAGCTACAGTGAGCAAGGTGGTCCCAGCTGTGCAGGGTACAACCTCTGCTCTCACCTCCAGCCATCTGTCTCTAGGCATCCAGGCCAGGCTATGGATGGGGATCCCCTTCTTCTTCCTCTCCATTGGCCAAATCTTATCAACCACTACAGGTGCTCTGCTTTCCAAATTCAGCCCAGGCTCCTGGGTGCTGCCCACATCAGCCAGGGTCCTGGGCCAGATGAAGAGGTGGTCTATCCATGAGTGAAGGCCAGTTCCTTCCTCACTGGGGCAGGTCTTATGCCCCAGTTTTAGGACCAAGAGTTGTGTATTGGGTTCTTAGATTGCTAGCTTTTCCTGCAGGAGACCACAGCAGGCGAGGATCTGCTGACAGTAATTTGCGTTCAGGGTCTTGTCCAGCTGAGAGCTTTGTGTACACCAGATTCTAAGAGGTGTCAGCAGTACTTTTTAAAATTTGTTTTCTGTGAGGTTTTTGGACCATGGGCTGAGCTCAGGCACTTTCTGTAAGAGAATGTTATGTCTGTAAAGATGGTTATTTCCCCTCCTCCACCCCCATCATGGTGGCCCTGTGGAAGGCTGACCAGAAGGCCAGTGGAGCTGCCCTAGTGTCTATGGGGGAGGGCGAGGCCTGCTGAGTTGGTGCTCTAGCCCTCTCACCTTGCAGAGCACAGAGGAGGTAACCCCAGGGACAGCCAGGCACCTGCCTGAGGGAAGGGTGCTGCCTTCTGTCCCTGTAACTGCTTCCCTTATGGCCCAAACTGGCCGCCCAGATTTGTTTGAAGGTGTGCTGAAAACTTTTTGGTATACAGAACAGCCAGGGACTTGATTTTGATGTATTTTAAAACCACATCAAATAAAGAGTCTGCTGCCTTTAAAAAAAAAAAAAAAGAAAAGAAAAGAAAATGCAACCTACTGAACGAAAATATTTGCAAATCATATATCTGATAAGGGGTTAACATTCAAAATATATAAAGAACTCACACTACCCAGTAGCAAAAAACAAACTGATTAAAAACTGGGCAGATGATGAGAACAGACATTTTTCCAAAGAAGATATACAGATGGCTGACAGATACATGAAATGATGCTCAGCATCACTAATCACCAGAAAAATGCAAATCAAAACCACAGTGAGATACCACCTCACACCTGTTAGAATGGCTATTATCAAAAAGACAACAGGGGCTTCCCTGGTGGCGCAGTGGTTGGGAGTCCACCTGCCGATGCAGGGGACACGGGTTCGAGCCCTGGTCTGGGAGGATCCCACACGCCGTGGAGCAACTAGGCCCGTGAGCCACAACTACTGAGCCTGCGCGTCTGGAGCCTGTGCTCCGCAACAAGAGAGGCTGCGATAGTGAGAGGCCCACGCACCGCAATGAAGAGTGGCCCCCGCTTGCCACAACTAGAGAAAGCCCTCGCACAGAAACGAAGACCCAACACAGCAAATATAAATAAATAAATTAATAAACTCCTACTCCCAAAATTAAAAAAAAAAAAAGACAACAAATAAGTGTTTGCGAGGATGTGGAGAAAAGGCAAATCTTGTACGCTGTTGGGAGGAATGTAAATTGGTGCAGCCACTTTGGAAAACAGTATGGAGGTTCCTCAAAAAACTGAAGTACGTCTACTGTCTGATCCAGCAATTCCAGGTATTTACTTGAAAATGAAAACACTAATTCGAAAAGATATATGCATCCCCATGTTCATAGCAGCATTATTTACAATAGCCATGATATGGAAATAACCTGTATCCATCAATGAATGAATGGATAAAGATGTGGTAAAAAATACAATGTAATATTACTTGGCCATAAAAAAGAATGAAATCTTGTTATTTGTGACAACATAGATGGACCTTGAGGGCATTACGCCAAGTGAAATAAGCCAGACAGGTAAACACAAATACCACATGATCCCACTTATATGTAGAATTTAAAAAGCAAAACAAACAACAATCAGAAAACCAAGCGCATAGACAGAACAAACTGGTGGTTGCCAGGGGCAGGGGGTGGACAAAATGTATAAAGGAGGTCAATAGGTACAAACTTCCAGTTATAAAATAAATAAATCATGGGGATGTAATGTATTGCATGGTAACTATAGTTAACAATACTGTATTGCATATTTGAAAGTTGTAAAGATTTTAAAAGTCCTCATCACAAGAAAAAAAATTTTCTTGTAACTACGTATAGTGATGGATGTTACTAGGCATGTAACTAGTAACTAGTAACTAGACTTACTGTGGTGATCATTCTGCAGTGTATACAAATATCGAATCATTATGCTGTATACCTGAAACTAATGTTATATGTAAATTATACCTCAACTAGATAAACAAATAATAAAAAGAAATAATATATTTAACTGCTAATTAGTATGAAATACCCAGTTACTGAATGGGTATCATTTCATCCCAAAGCCAAAAAACATGATATTTTATTTAGTCAGTGAAGCCTTGACACTCAATAAATCACTGGACATTTCTCTCAGAATAATTTTTTTTAAAAACCCAGAGTTCTACAGACTTAAAGGTGATAGCTTCTGAAATATATAACCACATATCAAACCCTTTTAGTTTTCAGATCTTTTCACTTTCTACTCCAAAGCACCTCATAAAATTTAAAAGGATAAATTGAGTAAATCTGATGAGGTTTCAATGAAATACAAGATAAATGAGTCTTGGGTCAGGAAGCAGGGCTACACTGGGCTTGGGGTACTGTAACTTTCCGCAACATAAATAAATTATGTGTTCTTGTCAAAGTAAATAATATAGACTGTGATTTAGATACCATACCAGGTTTGAATGAGAAAGAAGGAAGAAAGGAAGGGTGAAGAAGAGAGTGATAAATTTGTAAAAGAGAAGCTATAGTCCTTAGAGGAAAATAAAAGTGGAAAAACAACAAAAAGTAATGAGTAAGACACACTGAACCTGGGTCACACAGAGGATAAACTGAAGGGCAAACAAAAGGAAAGAAAAACAAAACATTTTTACTTCGAATTTTAAGAAATCAAAATTAAAACATTACAAGTGTTTTACCCAAACAAAATGGAGATATATGGCACAAAAGATTAGAAGCTTTAAAACTTTACACATGAAAAAAAATGGGAATTTAATTTTCTACAGGAACACTGCAGTGGGTTAAACCACTGCCAAAGTCACAACCAAGCCACAGTCACAACCAAATGCCAATCAACTCAGGCTACTAGAATGGAGTGACTGACCCCACAGTGCTTGTGGACTCATGAAAATGAACAAAGGTCACAGCAGAAAGTTTCACTGGACACTATTAAAACAAAATAGTAAATGTATCATTGGAGATGAAAGAAGGGTCTCATTATTCTTCATTTACTCACATAGCAGTTCATAATCTTTTTTGGTTTTATTTTCCTATGGACCTGAGGTACAAAGGGTTGGGTTTAATCATACTACTTAGTTCAAGGCACATAGTCTGCTTTATATTTAACATAGTTCAGGAAATTAATCCAGATGAAGCCAAATGTGAAAAATCGATAACCCACGTATCCATGTTTCACAGACACCTGTCCAAATCCAAACAACTTCTCTATCTCCGGGACAGCAGCAGTGGCAGCAATCATGCACTCCCAGAACCATACACCTGGCTGGTTGAAGCAGGAAATTCAAAACATGAGCCATGCTTACTCCAGTCAATACTGGTTAAGACTGATCTCTTTAATCCCAGGAGTTGAACTATATGAGAATACTTTACGATCTGCTACCCTCTGTCTCCCAACCATGTAGTCTGACCCTATGTCTACCTCACCATTAAACTGGCTGTGGGTGGCAAAAACAGAGAGATTCTTCTAAGAAGATTCAGCTGCCTCTTGGGAAATTGTATGAACCTGTCAAGATTCAGTCTTGAAGCCTTAGTAATTAGCTAAACTATGGAAGTTAAATTTATTGTAAGATAAAAAGTATATTTAGAAGATAAATGTTAAACAGTATCTCACCAGATGAAGCCTGATTCCTTCTAGGCTTACTAGCCTATCCTGCATTCCTACACTGACTATTTTTCATACCCTAGTTGGGCTCCAGTAGGATATGTAATATATTCCATCAATTCTTTTCACACTTTAACATCCCTGAAATCAAGATGCATCCTACAATCAATGACATGTCACAACTTTAATTGGCAGACTTTTTCTTTCTTAGTAGTACATATCAGTTCTAATTGAGGATCAGTTCTAATCTAAGGATTTAATGAAATATGGTAGAAAGTTTTCTAATCATTAAATCATTCATGTTAACAATGAACAAATACTTATATATTACCTATTATATGCCAGACATCATGACAAATAGTATTTTTATGAATTTGTGTATACTTTTCTACAAACTGAAGCCAAGATAGGTAAAGTATAATATTAAAGAAAAATTGGTTTTCTTTTAAATCATTTAAATAATCAGTTAAAAAATTAAGTATCAAAATTAAAAATGCTTACAAACTGCAAAATTCTAGTAAAAATATGAAAAATCCAAACAAGAATGAAAGACAAATCACTTAGTTCTATCAAAAATCCAAAATACTCAAAGTCATACATAGCTCAAGATATTAGTATACTAAACTTCAAAAAGTTCTTTGACACTTTACTGAGAGAGAAACATCTTATTATTCACAAAGCCAGTTCTCTAATAACTTTACATTTTAACTCTGTAAAATACTTATTTATAAGGTAAGTTTACTCACTGAATAATGCCTAGTTCATCCAAAATAAGCCAACATTTCCAAAAAAGCCACTTACTGGCATGCGTTCTGTCACCCCTCCAATCTTAAAGTTCATTGTTGATCTCACAGTCTGGGCGCCATAATACTTATCATTTGGGACCTTGAGTTCACCAAAGGTATCATATTCTATACGAAAAGAATTTTGGCTTGCCTAAAGATAAAGACAAGACACTGTTATAGCTTGAAAAGAAACCAAGTATCAAGAACAATAATATATAAACAATACATCATGTACAGGTAAAGAAACTTAATAAGTACCAAAAAGACAAAAAAATTCCATTTTGATTCTCATTCTACTCCCCCCACTTCCAGCTTTTTTCTTGAGAAATTTTTGTCACACAAATTTATTAATACATGTGTTAAAGACAGATTGTAGAATTCATACACTATGCAAATGATAAATAAAAATAATAATCTTTTCCAATTCAGGAGTATGCCTATTATTGGTCAAGCTTTGATGTACTTAGGTTAATGCTTATTTTACTGGGAACTTTGGAAAATGACCTAAGAATGATACTTTAAAATTTGAAAGTATTTTATATATATATATAATTATATATTTAAACAAAGCTCAACTATGGTCTACAAATATTATGCATGAGAGATAGCTTAGTGCCATACAAAACAGTCCAGGCTTTGCAGTGAGACAGCCCACCATCTGGTAGCTGTGTCACCTTCAGCAAGTCAGCTTTTCTCATCTATAAGTTACAGTAGATGTACAGACAAGGGGACATGGGCTAGATCAGTTCTTAACCTTTTCAGGGTGTTGGAACCTTTTGAGAATATGAGGAAAACTATGGATCTTCTCTCTAGAAGAATGAACATAAATACATATATGTAAAATCTTACATATGATTTTAAGGAGTTTATATCTTGAAACCAATCCACTCTCCAGGATAAGAACCCATGACCCCAAATCCCTTTTATGGAGAACCTAGGACTCTACTAAGTACATCAACTTACAGTAATTAAAAAAAAATATACAAATCTGGAGTTTACATATGATACTTTACATTAAAGAGATTAAGAGTATCAGAGATACTCAGAACTTTAATTAATGTTCATCTTGCATTAATTATAAAATAAACATGGTCAGATGATTCAAAAGATTTAAAAACACCCAGCCAAGTAACCTTATTTTAGTAAACAGTCCTCTGAATAAGAAAAAATTAATTTTGTAGTTATCCCCTGGGACTAGAAAGATTTAAAAACCCTTTATATATTATAAAGCCTTTTAGATTGCATGAAAAGAAAAGTATCCTTGTACCTAGTTAGAAATATAGGTGTATATCCAAGGAGGTACATTTTTTTTCTATGCCTAAAAGTCTGCAGAGGAGGGGAGTGGCCAAGATGGCAGAGTAGGAAGACTCTGAGCTCATCTCCTCTCATGGGCACACCAAAACTACAATCATTTACAGAGCAATGATCGATGAGTAAGGCTAGAAAATTAGAGAGACCTTCTACAACTAAAGATATAAAGGAACCATGGCAAAATAGGTAGGAGGGAGGAAGACACAATAAAGTCAAAACCTATTACCACTGCCCCCCACCCCCAGAGGAGGGGTGACCCACAAACTGGAGGATTATTACAATTGCTGAGGTTCTCCCCAAGAAGCGAGGGGTCCAGGCCCCATGTCAGGCTCCCCAGCAGGGCGAAGAAGAGCCCCTTGAAAGTTTGGCTTTGGAGGCTAGCAGGGCTCATTTTTGGCCAGAGGGCTGTGGGAAATAGAAACTCCTCTCTTAAAGGGTGCACACAAAATTTCACACACTCTGGGACCCAGGGAAGAAGCAGTAATTTGAAAGGAACCTGGGTCAGAATACCTGCTGATCTTGGAGAGCCTCCCGGAGAGGTAGGAGGCAACTGGAGCTCACACTGGGAACCTACACACTGGGGGCAGCCACTAATGGGAGCTTGTTCTACCACAAGGACATCAGTTCTTGAAAGCACCATTTTGGAATACAGCTTATTAGTGCAGGGACACAGCTCCACCCACCAGCAGGCCAGCTGCCTTAAGACCTCCTGAGCCAACAACCAAAGAGAGCTAAAGAATACAACAACTGAAATAAAAAGTACACTAGAAGGAATCAACAGTAGATTAGATGACAGAGAGGAACAGTTCAGTGGGCTGAAAGAATAGTGGAAATTACTGAAATTGAACAGGAAAAAGAAAAAAGGATGAAAAGAAACATGGGCAGTTTAAGAGACCTCAGAGACAACATCAAGTGTACTGGCATTCACATTACAGGAGCCATAGAAGGAGAAGACAGAGAGAAAGGGGCAGAGAACATATTTGAAGACATAATAGCTGAAAATGTCCCTAACCTGGTAAAGGGAAAGGACATCCAGGTCTGGGAAGCACAAAGAGTTCCAAACACGATCAACCCAAAGAGGACCACACAAGACACACTTTAATTAATGGCAAAAATTAAAGATAAAGAGAGAATACTAAAAGCAGCAAGGGAAAAGCAACAAGTTAAGTACAAGGTAATTGTACTTAACATAAGGATTTCAGCTGAGTCTTCAGCAGAAACTCTGCAGGCCTGAAAGGAGTGCATGATATATTTAAAGTGGTGAAAGGGAGAAACCTAAATCAGAAGACTCCAACAGGCAAGGCTTTCATTATGATTTAAATGGAATGATCAAAAGTTTTACAGACAAGAAAAAGCTAAGAGTTCAGCACTACCAAACCACCTTTAAATGGGTTTCTCTAAGAGAAAAAGGCCACAACTAGATATATGAAAATTATGAAAAAAACATCTCATTGGTAAGGCTAAATACAGTAAAGGTAGTAAATCAGTCATGTACAAAGCTAGTAGGAAGGCTGAAACGCAAAACCAGTAAAATTGTCTATATCCACAATAAGAAGTTAAGGGGCACACAAGACAAAAAGATGTAAAATACAATGTCAGAAACAGAAAAAGTGTGTGTGGGGAAATAAAAATGCAGGGTTCTTAAAGTGTTTTTGCACTTAAAAGATCAGGAACTGAAAATAATCATACACACACGTTGCAATATATAAACCACATGGTAACCACAAACCAAAATCAATAATCGATACACAAAAAAGAGAAAGGAATCCAAATGTAATATTAAAGACAGTCATCAAATAACAAGAGAAGTGAGCAAAGTAAGAAAAAAAGAACAAAAAAGAACTATAAAAACAACCCCAAAACAAAGGACAAAATGGCAATAAGTACATATCTATCAAGAATTACTTTAAATGTAAATGGCCTAAATGCTCCAATCAAAAGATATAGAGTGGCTGAATGGCTATGGAAACAAGACTCATATATATACTGCCTACAAGAGACTCACTTCAGATCCTGAGACACACACAGACTAAAAGTGACAGGATGAAAAAAGGTATTCTATGCAAATGGAAATGAAAAGAAAGCCATGGTAGTAATACTTACATTAGACAAAATAGATTTTATAACAAAGACTGCAACAACAAACAAAGAAGCCTATTACATAATGATCATGGGATAAATCTAAGCAGATATAACAATTGTAAATATGTATGTACCCAACACAGAATCACCTACAAATATAAAGCAAATATTAACAAACACGAAGGGAGAAAATGACAGGAACACAATAATAGTAGGGGATTTTAACATTCTACTTACATCAATGGACAGATCATCCACCAGACAAAAAATTAACAGGGAAACACTGGCCTTAAATGACACATTAGACCAAATGGACTTAATAGCTCTATATAGAACATTCCATCCAAAAGCAGCAGAATACACATTCTTTTGGAATGCACATGGAACATTCTCCAGGACAGATCACAAGCTAGGCCACAAAACAAGTCTTAGTAAATATAAGAAAACTGGTATCATATCAAGCATCTTTTCTGACCACAATGCCATGAGTCTAGAAATCAATGACAAGAAAAAAAATTGCAAAAAACACAAACACATGAAGGATAAACAATACGCAGTTGAATAACCAATGGATCATTAATGAAATAAAAGAATACCTAGAGACAAATGGAAATGAAAACACAATGATGCAAAATTTATGGGACAGAGGAAAAGCAGTTCTAAGAGCAAAGTTTATAGCAATACACACCTACCTCAGGAAACAAGAAAAATCAAAAATCAACCTAACCTTACACCTAAAGGAACCTGAAAAAGAACAAAACCCAAAAGTCAACAGATGGAAAGAAATCATAAAGATCAGAGCAGAAGTAAATAAAATAGAGACAAAAAATTATGAAAGATAAATGAAACTAAGAACTGGTGCTTTGAAAAGATAAACAAAATTGATAAACCTTTAGCCAGACTCAAAGGAAAAAGAGAGAGGGCTCAAATCAATAAAATCAGAAATGAAAAGGAAGTTACAACTGACACCACAGAAATACAAAGAAACATGAGCGATTACTACCAACAATTATATACCAATAAAATGGCCATTAAGAAATGGACAAATTCCTTAAAATGTACAATCTCCCAAGACTGAACCAGGAAAAAATAGAAAATATGAACAGACCAATTACCTGTAATGAAATTAAATCAATAATTAACAACAACAACAAACGAAAATCCAGGACCAACTGGCTTCACAGGAAAAATTCTACCAAACATTTAGAGAAGAGTAGCAACTATCCTTCTCAAACCTTTACAAAAAACTGCAGAGGAAGGAATGCTTTTGAACTCATTCTACAAGGCCAGCATCACCCAGACATCAAAACCAGACAAAGCACAAAAAAAGAAAATTACAGGCCAATCTCTCTCATGAACACAGATGCAAAAATCCTTGACAAAATAGTAGCAAACAAAATTCAACAACACATTAAAAGGACCATACACCATGATCAAGTAGGATTTATTCCAGGGATATAAGGATGGTTCAATATCCACAAATCAGTCAATGTGATATACCACATTAACAAACTGAAAAACAAAAATCATAGAGTCATCTTGACAGATACAGAAAAAGCTTCTGACAAAATTCAATACCCATTTATGATAAAAATTCTCAACAAAGTGGGTATAGAGTGAACATACCTCAACATAATAAAGGCTGTATATCACAAACCCACAGGTAACATTATACTCAACAGTGAAAAGCTGAAAGCATTTCCTCTAAGATCAGGAACAAGACAAGGACGCCCACTGTCATCACATTTAATCAAGATA